CTGTCTCTTATACACATCTAGATGTGTATAAGAGACAGATGTTTGCCCATACGAGGAAGTGGTCGGTCGAACCTGTATCTATCGCACTTACGTGCAGCTCTGCACACATGGGATCTGCGTGCTCCCCCTATCTACCAGGATGTAGTCGAGGATTGAGTATTCATTGCAAACTGCCCGTTGCCTGGTGAACTCCGGCTTATCGCATTCCCTCCTACCGTTCAACACCATCAGCTCGTTGCTTCTCAAGAATTTAAGCATCCTCACTCCGTTGTCATTCTCTTGTTTGTGTCTTCTCCGTGCTGCCCGATGACCTGTCCTCTACTGGAAGCTTTCCCTACTCTGGAGTTGAAATCGCCCACCATGACAACTTCTCCCTTCTTAATGAATCTCTGGACATCTTCCTCATTTTGTTCAAAGTTCTCCCGCGCCTTGCTTGCGACTTTTGACGACGGTGGGAGGTAAAGTTCCCTAGAAACAAATCTCAAGCCACAGGCTTTCCTGGAACTCCGTTTTCACCACTACTTCCACCACGTCAAACAAGTGTTCCTTTGACCAGGAATCCGACTCGCCCCTCCCCCCTTTTCTTCGGGTCTAACCCCTTGCTTGCCTTCCCTTCCCACCGGTGTTTCCCTAGTTTGCTTGCCGCGTCCCCATCCTTCGATTCCCACGCCTCTTGGATCCCCACTACATCTAGATCGCTTTGTTCTACTTGGTCCACTATTTCCAACCGCTTGCGCTCACTCCTTGCGAACCCGCACACGTTCCACCACCCCACTCTCAGCTTGTGCTTTCCCCTATTGGTCATGTTGCGCACACCATCGTTCGCCTTCCGCTTCTTCTCGGACTTCTTCTGACCTGCTTGCTCGACTGCCCTGCTCGGTCCTGTCCGAGGAGCGCGGCCAACAATGACCGAACGTCTTCTAGCCTACTAAGGCGCCGCCTTACGCGTGCACACTCTAATATGGGGGTGGGGGGGAGGGGTACGGGAGGTAAGCATGCGTTGCGTGCCTTCTTGGCGTGTGCCTGCTCCCGACGGGGAAGGGAAGGGGAGGCGGGGGGGAGGCGGTACGGAGAATGTGTAATTGACCGCTGCACACGTGTGTTTGGGGTCGAAACGCATGCCTTGGTCGTTGGGCGATTTACCACGGGCAATCAGAGGACGGGGCATTGTTGTTCCCACAGGACTGATCGATCACCGATAGCCAATCGCTTCTTCCTACATTGCCAAAGGTGTGTATCAACATGTGTTTCCCTGTCCTTAAATCTATCCTGTCGATATCACTTCCAGCCTTTTCAGCCCACGATTTATTCCCGAGCATAGCTAACCGTCTTTGTCCTATGGCTATTCTATGCCTCAAAACTATCTCTCTGTAGGTCACTACGAAACCCTGCTATTTTTTCTAGCTCGGTCCTGTAGACTTTTCTCTTCTTTGCGAAAGACGGACTGGAGAGGCGGCAGAATATCTTGGACTTTCCATTTCGTTACCCTCTCCCCCCCCGTTTCCTGTCCGTCCTCAGTTCGCAGTTGCAGACAGGCGCGCAGGCGAGGCACATTCAGATGGGGGCAACACACGTATGAACCTCTCATCTCATTCTCCCTTGCCTTGACAGAGACGG